CTCTCTCTCTCTCTCTCTCTCTCTCTCTCTCTCTCTCTCTCTCTCTCTCTATCTATATCTCTCAATACAGACTTGCTTTATACACGAGCACGTAAGCGGGGTAGCGGCGGCATTACTTTAATGGTGCTCGATCATCAAGTATTTAATTAGGAATGCTTGATTCATGGTTTGCGAGGGAGGCGCGAGGTCCGTTAAATGCGAATTAATGTGTCTGTGCAGAGTGGACGTGTAATGTTGTGGCTTAACGAGACTGTGCAACATTATTTCCTCGACGAGTGCAAAAGTGTCAACCTGCTCGATTAAATGGCCACACGATCGCCTAAATATTGTCATTGCTTCACTCGAATCGACTAAGCGGAAATTTCATTGCCTGGTACCGTAAGCTTTGTAGATTTCATTTTGCATGCCCATCGAGGTCAGTCCCATTAAACACGCGTAAAACAGGCATTTTCACGAAAGAAATAATCGGGAATTCCGCGATCGTGGAAAGACGGGAGATTTAATTAAACGATCATTTTACAGTCAATTTTCGATAGAGCAGTCGGCAAGCTGGTCGGAGCGATTTTCCATGAGATTGCCGCGATTGCCCATGAGACGGACAGAGAGATAGAGAGAGAGAGAGAGAGATAGAGAGAGAGAGAGAGAGATAGAGAGAGAGATAGAGAGAGAGAGAAAGAGATTCGTCGTTCGCCCTGTAATAGCGTGAAAAAGCTGCTACCCTCGTCGATCGTGGCAACACTCGTCCCCAGCTTCCGTTGATGACGGAATTGCGGCGAATACGGTGTACCTCCTCTGTCGTACGCTCGTGCCCGGCTTTCGCGAGTTGAAGAATGCGACCGGGGGAGGTGGGGTGTGAGACGAGGGAGAGAGGGAGGGAGATCAGCGAGTGCTGGCAATATGTCCGCGGCGCCCTCGGCTCACTTTCCCCGGCATTAAATCAAAGCCAAATGAGCGCTTATTCATGCCTTGTGCTCCGGGGATAATCGCGGCCCGGACGCTGCAGTAGTTGCATTGCCCCGTGGAATTTACGATTATCGCTCGCTCGCTCCCATCATCGGAGGTCGCGCGGGCACGTGGGCTTCCTTCTTCTTTTTTTTTTTTTTTTTTTATCCTCGGTAGTCTCCTCGACGTCCCCTCGTCTCGACGTATGCACGAGGGCCCGTTAAGAGTGACGCGCTTTAGGCCCGTTTTCGGAATCTCTTAGGCAAATTGTTTTTTACCCGATCGCCGCCCGTCTTAAGTATTTTCATTTTTCTTTCGAGGGTTAAACTTCCACGAATCGCTCGCCTTTTGAGAGAAAAAAAAACAAGGATAACCAAGTGAGATTCTATGTCGAGTCTGCGCCGTTTTTTACACTTGGCATTATGTGGTAGTCGATAAAATTGGCCGGGGTTTTCGTAGAAAATCGTCGTCCTCTTAAGGGTTTATCTTCAAGGCTTTTTCTCATTAAGCGCCTTGTTTTCACAAAGCAATTTAATTGAATTTACATTCGTAAATTAAAAGTCGTAATAAAGTGGTAATTGAATTTGAAAAATACGCTTTAAAAGTAGAAAGTAAATTCGGAGAAATATTCGTCCGGGAAATTAAGCCAAGCCATAAATAATTCTTCTTAGCCTGCATTTATTAATATTATAAAATATATGACTTTAATGACAAAATGTCGAAAGTTTCGATGCTTTTTTTCTTCTTCTCTCGTTACATTACCTTTACGGCGCCCTCCTTATCAAATTATACGGATACGTTTAAAAATTTATTATTCCAAAAGAATTAATTCCCATTTAATCAGAATGCACTTTCCTAAAAAATATTTTCTAAAGTAATCTCGAACCGTAATTTGTTACTTTTGCAAGGAGCCATAATTTAAACTTGGCAAAGGTTAACGAAAATAAATAAGAAATTGCTCGAAAGTTTTCTCTCTCTTTATTTTATTTCTCCGTTGTGATTATCTTGTTAGTCGAATGCGAATGGATATTTCAGCCTCCTTATTATTTACTTTAGGCAGGAAAAATATTTAACTACTTCAAATCCATCGCATTGTCGGAATCGTCACATTCGCCGTCCTTCATTTAGAATGTAGTTTTAGCAAAATATATTATACAGACTTTCCATATTATCTTATAAATATAGAATTATTATATGCTTATAATGGTTGGATCGCCAATTGTTGATAGTCAAAGTTTCCCTAGAATAACAAACCATTATTGCACCGTATGCGTACAATTTATTTTATTTTATGGCGTAGCATCAAATAAAATTTAATCTCCCGTTTTATCCTTAAAGGTGACAAATATTTAATAATATAATGTCACAAAATGTCGCAGTAAGTATTAAAATGCCTCTGAGATATAATCTCTGCAAAGCAATTATGGCAATCAAGAAATTATAATAAAGTTATGATGGAGTCACATTTAAATTTATGATTTACAAAAAGATAAATTAATGTTACTTAATCCAAAAATAGGATATTATTTATCTTCTTTTAAAAAGGCCAATTATACAAAGAAAAAATTACGTCAACATTATTATATCAACGTCATTATATCTAGATATTAGTTAAAATAATTTTTAACGTTAAATAATAGAAATTTATTATATTTTCAAATGACAATAATTGATACTAAAAACTCTCAATTACATATTGATTTCCTTATGGTCATTTTACGTAACGTATAATAATTAAAATAAACTTATACCATTGTTTATTAAAAAAAAAAAAAAAAAAACAAAACAAAACAAAAAAAGAAGTCTTGTTAATAATTTATATTTATAGTTATTAAATTCGTTTCCGTAAAATTCTGATTAAAATTGAGAAAATGCATTTTTTTAATTTACCTATAAAAGAATGTTGTACGAATATATTTATTACATAAATGCGATATTAAAAAGAATGAAAATCACTAATATATGCTTTTTTGTTTTGTTTCTGTACAACGCCGTGAGTAAAGGATGATTTATTTATATCGTTATGAATAAATGTCAGTCAACAAAAGAAAAAAAAGCTTTGAATATTTTTACGATATATAACATTGTCCTGTTTACATACGCGAGTTCCGTTAAAAATTGACATTTACTTTGCGAATATTTTTCGCTCGTTTCTTCTTTCGTCTTCTCCGTCTTATTTCCTTTTAATTCCGTTCGAAGAAGTCATTTGGGGTCGAGCTGAGCGACTAATGCATTCGGTTCGATACGAGACGAGAAAAAATATTTACGTTGCGATGATTTCGGTACTCGTACCGCGGAGCTTTGATATGCATTTTTTTTTCTCGTCCAATGGATTTTATTATGAAAAGAAATTCTTTCCCAAAGACGTGCGTAAACTTTAATGCACAAGCGCTCTCTTAAAAGCTCGCTCTCGCTCTCTCTCTCTCTCTCTCTCTCTCTCTCTTCTCTCTTTTATTTTTCATTCGCAGCCGACACGATGATTTATTTAACGTTATCTGTGTTTTAATTGCTAATAAGATTTTTCCAAGCGTTCATTGTTTATTGTTTCGAGACATG